CCTACTGCCTTTACTTCGAGAAATGTGCCATCTATATTGTGTGGTGTAACAGCTATATTCAGAAGGATAATGCTCTGCTGTGCGTTTTATACATGGGTACAATTTAAGGAAGCTTTAGACGCATTTATAAAGGTACTAAGTTGTTTATTATTGCTCTGAAAGCAATCCAACACATTGTATCGGGTTGTTTCAAGTAGAAAGGATCCATCCGGTCCTATGGAATACAAGTATGTGAGGTATAGATGCACTTCTGGAGGTTAACGTTCCCCCGAGGTGTTGGCTTTAGGAATAGAAGGTAAGTTGGCTGTTTGTGTAAATTTTTAAAATTTTACGGTTCAAATGTACTTCATGTCAGTCAATAATTACAGTACGGTGCAAATCCAACGGGTACAAAATAACAAAGCACCAAACTGTGTAAAACCATCCATGCACGGCGAGTTTCATGTCCACCAATGTATCTAGACGTCGGCTGTCATCAGAAGAAATGACAGTTGTGCAACCGTTCATTGAAAGGAATACTGATGTCCATGAAATCATGGATTTAGCACATGAGAAATTCGGAAAGGTGCTCCTGTATAATGATATTAAAAACATGCGGGCTAGGATAAATAAACGTAAGTCCTATCAAAATAAATGGTGCAGTAGAATTGAAATCGGTAGAAGACCTGCTCCATCGACTGAGGCAGACAGGTTCAGTTAGTGTTCTGCAGGACAACGCAGGCTTTGTATCGAAAATCATTTTCGCTCGTAATGATATGATAGACCTCTATCATAAGTTTCCAGAAGTAGTTGGAATTGATTGTACCTTTAAAACGAATAAGATGGGATAAGTTGCAGTACAAGAAGGTATAATTCCTTCTCCAAATTTATCGCCGATGGCCTTTATATCAGTTTTTGTGACTGATGGATTCGGAGGGGGAAGGACTGCTTTGTTTGCTCTTACTAGGAGAGAAAGGTTTGAAGATGTCAAGGAGATATTGGAGACGTCTACGAGATTTATGGTTGATACATCGAAAATACTAACATTCACTGTCGAATGTGCAACTGCACAGATGAACGCTCTAAAGGAGGAACTCCCTAGGTGCAGTATCGTTTTATTTCTTTTCCATGTATGCCAGGCATTCAGAAGGAAAGTAAGTTTCATTCCCATTGACTAACATAGCGAAAACAGTTCCCAAATCAACTTGCTAAAAAGTGGTTGTATCGAATGGGGCACGCGCGCAGTTATGACAGGTACGTTAACCAATCAGAATATATTGCCAAAGGTTTTGGAGTTACCAAAACCTCATAAGTATTATAGACGCTGAGGCTGGTGCTTACATTAGAAGGTACTGGCTAAGAACACGCAAATATTGGGCTGCATCGTGCAACCGGTTCACATCAGCATGGGAAACAATACCAACAACAACTGAAAAAGACAATTTCGTGTAGGTGATCCGCTGGAACTGACGCTATGGAAAATATGGAGGTGGATTGACCACAAAACCATACGTAAAATACGTCAGGGCCAGTGGATGCTTTGTGAATAGTGCAATTACGATGTAAGTTTGAAGATAATTTACGATTTTTCCTAGGTACATACTTCGCTGCAGTCTATATCATGGCGTCTCGCACCGTTTGCTGGCAAGAAAGTTGTCTTAGACTCGGAAAGGCGGTTCTTCTCCATCCATTCAATATCTTCCACATCAGTTAATTACTCAGAAGGTGGTCACATCTTCTTCGTAAAAAAAATGAGATGGAATGCACATGTTGGACATACTGTGCATACAGCTTGCCATGTGGTAATGTCGTTGAGGCTTTCTTGAACTCATATCTAAATTGTGGTGTGTTCCATTTCCTCAATTTTTTTCTCTTATATATTCTGATAAATAGTGAGAAGTGGACACGTCAGTATAGCACGACGGACAACATTCCGCGAGCCATCCGCTTAAAATCGTAACCAAACAGTGATTTACGAAATGCTTATGAACGTGTGAGATGTTGTCTCAACAGACTGAACGAAAGAAATCCGTATGCTGCACTGCAGGAAATAACAGAGTTCACCAGAAGGTGGACAGTTTGCTAGCAAATGAAGCGCAAACAACTTTAAGATTACGACGTACCCCTGTTAATCACTTACTTTTGTGAAAATGTTTGTATTACCTTTTGTTTCCACCTGTTTTCATAATATAAACATGTGTGTCTAAACTGCTGTCACACTTCCTTTCCCTTTAAATTCCTAAGAGTGACAATTTAATGAGTAATTAGGCTGGCTCTTTCGTGATGAGAGCGCTTTGGAAGGCAGTTAAAACTTACACCGATCTGTGCCTTATTTACTAAGTTCTTCAGCCGAGCATTTCTGGTTCATGGCATATCCTGAATAACGGTGATTAATACAATTTATCACCTAGACCGAAGCACCACCAAGCATCTAACTAATTCTAAATTTATTGTCAATGTAGTTGAAGATTGAACGATCAATTCTTGGTTGTTTGCTCAAACCCAACTTCCCTATATTTTCGCGGAGACATCGATACACCAGTCCTCGTCTCATTGGAGTGGGGATATAGGCCGACACCAGGCGTTATCGCGCAATGTCATCGGTTACCGCGCTCACGTCAACAGACGTTATAATCACCTATTTTTGTTGGAAATAGATTATATTTGACTAGTTTTAGACTTCTGTAGCCGGATGGCAGTATTTTGCTGCATTTTGTTCTTAGTAGAGCGTAAAATTGTATATTATAGCTCGGACGAATTATCAATGAAGAAGTAATCCTTTTTAAGAGAGTTCGCATAGAAAGACTATTATTTGCATTATAGTGCGTTGAGGGCTTTTTTGCGAGCTGTTTCAGAATTAAGGTTGTAAATATACTGCAGGCAATGGCTGTTGTCATTCCAGTGAATCTATGAGAATCTGGCCTATGAAAGAGAAATAGCATGCAGACATAGGTTAGATGTGTGCATTGAACATGTTAAACTTTTCTGTTATCATCCGGGATGACAATGGATAACTCATAAAACATCGACGACATTATGCGATGAATGAGATAGGCTGCTGAATTTCCTGGTGATTATATCTATTTTGATGAAGTTCCTAGTTAAAAGTGCTTGGGCGAAGATGTAAAAATAGTTTAATTGACATTTGCACATGGAATTTCACAAGGCCTTAATTGGTCAGTGCATGAAATGGCATCAGAGTATATTGACATCAGTGTTCATTGTGTCTGGAAGAATAGTATAAATAGTCCTTCTCAAATATCAGAGTACTTAAAATTAGTACCAGATTTCTGTTGATTAGTAGCTAGCGGCTGTGTCATACAACTACTACACCTGTTATATAGGTTATATCAATCTTAAAAATTATTTTGCTTCACATCACTAAGATAATCTGAGATCCTTAATTACTTAATTGTGGCTATGAAAGATGTAGAAGATGCACTTATGGCTGATATATTTAAAGCAGTTATTATTAAACAAGTTATCTGTAAGCAACTTGTGATGTTCTGAATACTACAAACTGTTGATAAGAAACTGCATCAAAGGAAAAAATGCTGAACAGCTAGAAAATACTACTGCGGTTTCGTTGGTTCTTACCTTTTGCATTTGTAAGTCATCCTTTCAAAGCTGCGATTGACGCTAAACCATCCATGGTACCCCACAGGCCCTATAGAAATTTGTGAGAGATCTTACATGTCAGGTTGTCTTCCAAATTGTAAGGTTGCAGATCTTTCAATTTACCTCTCACTGAAATATCACTTATCTACTTCACTATGGTCTTTTCATTTGTGCACTATTACACTTCATTTTATGCGCCTGTAGAAATGACATGCATTCTTTGTAAACATTGGTTTATACGAAATATGAAATTATTACTATATGCTTGCTGCTATCCTTTAGAAGAGGAATAATGTGTGTGGCAGTGAAAACCACAGAAGAATGATGTCATTACCAAAGAATGAGAAAGGAGAATGAACCATTTTCAGCAAAGGTAGGCAAATCTGAAGTGTTTAACTCTGATATTGCTGGTTTCTTACTTCAGTGATTTAAAAAACACTTTGTTTACTTATTTGTAGATATCCGGTAACATCAGTCAACCCGGTCACAGCGATTCGACATTGCCCCAATTATTACGACAAACAACTGCGTAAAGACATTTGCTTGTTATTATTTTTCGTTAAATACATTTAACATCCTGCTTACCAGACCTTTCTTGTTCTATCTGAGTGTAGCTATATTTGTCATGATGACTAGATGCAGGCATGACTTATTAATGATACCTGACGAAGTAATTGGTGGCATAATTTAGTGTAAGGTAAATGTAACTACGAGTGCTAAAGCTGAACGAATTCAATAATTTGTCTCGTGTAGACTTCAATTTACGCTACATGTTAACAGCCTTAGTCATATGGATTGACATCACGCTTTAAGTGAAACATTAGTAATGCAATACTTTAGAATACACGTAACCGTTTAAGAACTGGAACAGGAATGCAGTGCCTAAGTTATGCCTACTATTGTCATTTGTCTCTAAAGACTTCTATATGACTATGAGACGTAACCAGGTAACTTCACTAAAATAATTATAATTTAAAACGTATGACGACCGACATCGTTTCTACGCAATTACACTTACGTATAGTTAAAGTCCTAGAGAGCACCGGTCTAGCATGCCGTGCTCAAGAAGGGAACACATGAATTGAAAGACAATAAGATTGACATGAAAATTATATTTTAATTATGATACAAATTCAGTTTATTTACATATTCAGAGTACGATTGATTCCTGCGATTACTTCTATAGCATAATTCCTGGCAAACACATCTCCAAATTTGTCAACTGTTAGTCGTCTATACCATGGGTCATTCTGCATGTACACCCTGCTGCATGGATGGTTATGCACCATATTGTGGGAAGCAATTATGTATTCACTATAATGAAAAACCACGCGAAGTGAAGACGAGCAATTGCAACATTTAGACCTGAAATATCCATGAAATCATATTACACTTCTTCTTACGACTTGTTTTTCAATTTCAATCCAGGTCTTGTACGATTCACTCCAAAAGTGCATTTAAAACCAACATAAGCGTACTTAAACCTGTCATCCCGTATCGTTTTGCTGCAATTATGAACATAGTGAGTGTAGGATAACTACACTGTTAGCATTAAATGACTTCCTCACTTTTTGAAATTCTGCTAATGACTTCTCAAATTCATCCCAGCTCAAGAAACGCCTTCCAAGTATGTATTCAGCAAAAATTCCACTTAAATCTGTGCTCCTGTCACTCGAATTGACTACCTGCAACGGACTAAAATACAATTAGCAATTAGGATCCATCTATGTCACAACTATTCCAAGATAAATCGTAAAAAAACAACATTGAAATACAGGGATGATCGATAACCATCAAGAAAATACCGCACGTATAACCTAAATTACAGAAAAACAAGAACCCACCGGTTCGTTGACATCGCAAGCAACCAATAGACCAAACAACGAATTTTACGACAAGTAAAGCCTAGTACATGCACAAACAAAGAAAAACCAAGCGTTACAATAGTCTAATACACGTTTATAGTAATCACATATGCTGGAAAACGACGCTAACACAACCACGCAAATACAGCACCCGACAGCACGCACCCAAGGACAATTCAAACTGCAATTGACCGCCACCATTCTAGCCGATGAAAGACGAAAAAAACTGAGTCGCGGAAAATATAACTCGCACAACCTATATCCTCACCCGTCTCATTGGTCACTGTTCAGAAAGAAGTCAGGCCAAAACACTGTCAGAAGTAATGTTGTGATTTATTATTGTAATATTTGTTCGTAGACCTTAGTTGTAAAGCTTAGTTGCAAAGTTCGCTATATGTTGGTGTAACAATAAAGTAGCCAATCGGTGTTTTGGTTTTGCGTCCGTCATCACTAAGCGTTTCTGAGAGACTTCGAGGAACAGCGTGAGTCCCAGCGTAGCAAGAGCTGGGCATTGACGGTTTACGAGACGCGGCTGACAGTTTCTGATGGTACGGGGTCAGTTTTTGACGGTTTCCAACAGTTGGTGACAGTTTAGATATTCACCATTCATCTTTCCTGGTGCCGGTCAAGTCCTCTTTGAACAAGCAATATCTGGAACTTTTTTGGAATTGGGTCAAGTTCAACAATGCCTGGGTCAAAGAAGGGACAGAGTGTCTTGGATACAAACAGGAAAGTAAGTCATGGTGACTTGTCTGTTAATTGTAACGATGTGTCTGATGTTAAGCATGACATGGTTGATGTTACTGTTTCGCCGTTCAGGGATAATAGGAACATCAAGCTCCCTAAATTTGAACCACGATGTTTTGATGGAAACCCGGCTGATTATTTACAATTTGTAAAGGAGTTTGAGATCATGTTGATTGGTGTTTTATTAAATGATGAATTGAAGTTAATGTATTTGATGAGATATTGCACTGGAGATGCTGCAAGAGCTATACAGTGCTGTACGTTTATGAAGCCAAAAGAGGGCTACTACGAGGCTATGAGCATATTACGTCAAAGGTTTGGAAGACCTTCGATGATTGCAGGGAAATTATTCGAGGCTGTTAAGGGTAATGGTGGTCAATTACAGGATGACTCCCAGGCACTCACTGAGTTTTTAGATAATTTGCTGATTTACAACAATGCATTGATTTCGACGAATCGCATGAGTGACCTCAACTCGAGTTTCATACTAGAAGTAATAGCAAGACGCCTACCTACTCGACTGCAAAGGAAGTGGGTGAAGATAAGCTCCCGTATGGAGGATGAGGGTATCGAGCCAAAGTTTGATGATATCCTGAAACTGGTAAATACTAGTGTCAATCTATCTATGAGCAAGTTCGCCAGTCTATTGAATCCCAACCCTAGAACAAAGCAGTCTGAGATCAAAATGCAATCATTGATGACGAGTAGGCCTCAGAGAGGTGGATATCGAGAAGACTCCATGATGTCTAGTAGTGCATATAGACCTAGTGAGTGTAACAGGTTTCGTAGTACATCCTCAACAGATAAGTTGCAAGCTGCAAGACAAACACGGTTGTGTTTTACACGTGTGCAAGAGGTGCATACAGAAGTGAACTGTGAACCAGTGAGCAAGTTCAGTAATAAGCTAAGTGTAAACTCCAGGTCTGACTCCGAATTGTGTGACGATAACGGTGTTGTGAAGAAGTCTGTAGTTGCAACTGGTAAGCCATTGTTGAATAGAGTGTCACAGAATAGAGTTACTGCTTCAGAGTGCAGTTCTGACTCCACAAGTTTACAAGGTATTACTGGTCAGAGTGAAGGTATAAAATCTTTAGGGATTTGTGAGGAGGAACGAAAATTGTCTACTTCTGTTATTAAAGAGTTTGAAAATGATGAAGTCGACCAGAAAGATGATGGTAAATTGAATATTTCTGATAATGATCATGATCTCTCCATGACCTCTCACAATCTCTCCATATAACGTGGAAATAATTTTTCGAATTCTGGAATATCGTGGTCTATATTTGACTACTAAATTATTGTAGCTGATATTGGTTGCACCTCCGGTAGCTAACTATCCAAATTTATCACCTCCAGAATACCGTTTGGATCCAGTCGGATTCGTGTTAATAAAGAGCAATCTATCACAAAAGAACTATAGAGAAGTCCTTAGTTTTGTTGTTTATAACTGTCTGAGTTAACCCGTTTGATAGTGGTCTATTTTTAGTTCGTACTTCATACATTCATACCTGTTTATTGTTGTTTTATATCTGCTTAGATAATATAACAGTATTTGACACACTTTTGTCAATTTTTGAGAAATTTTTGTAATCTTTACCTCCATAATGGTCAAAGTTATTAAACGAGTTAGTACTGTTAAGAGACTAGCATCAAATAGTCAGCAGGTCACTAGAAACATTAGTCCTGACGATGAATTTGTACTTAGGTCAATTGATGCACCGAGAGTTATAGTACCAAACTTAATGGAAGAACTAATTGATAACGTAGCCCGTAACACTAGTGATCTAAAGATACTTCAGAAATCCATAACAGACCTGCAGGATAAGTTTGAAAGTATCACTCCTTTCCTCCAACTTTGTGATCCATCACAAGAAATTTGCTTAGATTCACTCCTCAAATCTGAGCGCCTGCTAGACTTTTTGACTGCAGAGGCTGTAAAGAGGGTCATGTCCTCATACAATAAACTGAGTGAAGAAAACCCCAATAAGACAACCGATGTTAATACTTCCCTCGTTGTATTGCCTGATGACCAAGAGCACCATATAATATCGCATACACAAACTAACAGTAGTCAAGCAACTGTTGAGGACTTAGCTCTAAATACTGGAATTTCAGACATAGAAATGTCAACAGATCACAGCATTGACGTGCATCCCTTGCACACTGGCACTAATGCCAGACCCTCGAAAAAGTCTAAGCTGAATTCAGTTGTACACTTTGAATCTCTCGGGAAGTCATATACCTCACAACCTCTTAGCCCGGCTACTGTGAAGCAGCAATCACATGTGGCCACCCAGGTAGGCGTAAATACAAGGCGATATGATAAACGTCCTATTTCCGTTAGGAACACCAAAAGAACTGTTGAGACTATTCAACAGAAACCCATTTTATTAGGAAATCCTACTAATCATCAGCAGCCCAAATTACACAAGCCGACTAATACGGATAAAGCTAAACCAAACGTTAGACCCGGAACACTAAAGCCCATAAGTAGGAAAGTTTCAAATGGGTCACTGGCTCATTCTACTGATAGACAATCGTCTAAACTTAGTCATGTTCCTGAAGTTAGACGTAATTCACATACCGTAGGAGCTGAATCATTTCCGACTTCCACTACCAGTCCTACGATAAGAAAAAACAATCGTCACATATCTCACCAAACACTTCGAAAACACGAAGTTGCTCAACCCCTCACGAATGCACCCTCAACCATGATGCACAGGAAACATCAGTTTGAGAATACAGATGTTAGTCCAAAAACGCGTATAGTGCCCTGTCATAATTCTCATGCATTCAGTAGGGGTCACATGCCAATTTCAGCACAATGCTCATCATGGCCTAGGAAGTGCTCTAATCAGACACAGGGATCTAAGTCATATGCACACAACAACACGCCGATCACTCATTTCGGTTATAACTATGCAGATTACACGACACTAGCCAACCCATATGACCAAACGTTTCTCCAGCGACAACTGGCAGAAACGCCTGGGATCATGCACATAGCACGCATGATATCAGACCAATTCCTTGCTGGTATAGCGAACACCTTACAACAGGGAAACTGCTTCTTCCTTGACAGATAGCAAACACCTTATGCACACCTAATACCAATAGTAATACCTTAGATTTTCATACTAGTATCTCCCATGGCACGCAATATCTAAACGACCAACTGCTCACGAGTGACATTTCACAACCCATCCCTAACTATCAAATTAAAGAAAACGTCTCTAGTGATCAAAATGTTGTAGTTAATGAATCCAATAACGACTGCACATATTCAGTTGATAACCATAGAGTATTTTATTATGATATTGCCCATACACTAAAACCACTTCGTCAAAGTCTATCCGTCATCCTCATAAATGCTAGATCAGCTCTTAACAAACATTTAGCATTATGTACGTTAGCCTCTATATGCAATCCGTCGCTGATCATGATCACTGAAGCCTGGTGCCCAAGTGATATTGTGGATGGTAGCTTATCAATTGATAAGCACAATCTTTTTAGAGGGGATAGGGAAACAGGTCGTGGGGGTGGAACACTCATATACGTTAAACAACCCATTTGTGCAACGCATTTTAGTCACCCTATTCTGTCACAACTTAATGATTCGGTGTGGGTCGAAATAAAAGTTCTCAGAAGTAAGCCTATCCTTATAATAATAATAATAATGTATATTCTCATATAAACATGTAAATTTACATGAAAATGCATGCCATTTTTACAGGCACGATCAAGTATGATATAATATCAAATCGTAGATTGTCTAAAAGTTAATAATGTTTCAACAGTTAAATATTTGATATATATATATAAATACACATTGTCTGAACTAGGCTGTATAGTTATTGAATTGTACAGTTGTCCTCCAGGTTGAGCGGGAAAATCGACTTCGTTTCGTTTTCATCCCGTGGTTGTAGGCATACGATAACCAACCAATATTGAGGTAAGTACAACGTTTACAAGGGATTGAAAGCTGTTTTAGAAAAGTAAAAGTGCTGAGGTGAATCATTAAATTGTAATGAAATAGGTAAGTGCAAGTATCATTAATAAATGCATTAAAAAAAGAAAACACCTAGGCTGACAACGTTCATTTGCAATGTATAATGCAACACATATACCTCGTACTATCATGATGTCCAATTTCGGTTTTAATACATTTATCCTCAGTTGTGCCAGTTGTTTTTGTTTTATACCTTTTTGTGCATTTAATGTACAACCGTACCCTTCAGAGAGTAGGAATATAATAAGTCATAAAGAGCTGTAAAATGTTAGGTTTAATGG